CCAAATCCACCCCAAAGTCCCCAAATTCAGCCCAAATCCACCCCAAAATCCCCAAATTCAACCCAAATCCACCCCAAAATCCCCAAATTCCCTCAGGGAGCCCGAAATCCACCCGGGGAAGCCAAAAATTCACCCCAAAATCCCAAAATTCACCCAAAAACCACCCCAAAATCCCCAAATTCCCCCCTGGGAATCCCAAATTCCCTCCAGAAATCCCCAAAATTCCAAGAAATCCACCCCCAAATCCCAAAGTCTCCCAAATTCCCGAATTTTTGGGCTCATTTTGGGAGGCGTTCCCTCGTTTTTTGTTGTTTTATTTTATTTTTTTCTCCTCTAAAATTCAGGGGAGTTTCCCTAAAATTTAAGGGATTTTCCCACAGAATTCAGGGAAGTTTTTCCTTAAAAAAAAAATCAGGGAGTTTCTCCCAAAATTCCAGGGATTTTGCCCCAAAATTCGAGGAAGTTTCTTCCCAAATCCAGGATTTTTTTCCCCAAAACCCACAGGGGATTTATCCTCAAAAATCAAATTTTTATCCCTCCAAATCCAAGATTTTACCCCCCAAAATTGAAGGAATTTTTCCCCCTCTCAATCCAACATTTTTCCCCCGAATTTAAGGAATTTTTTTCCTTCCCAAATTCCCATTTTTTTCCCAAAAAATTTAATGGATTTTCCCATTTTTTTCTCCCCCAATTTAGGTGATCGTGGAAAAGGCGCCCAAGGCTCGAATTGGGGACCTGGACAAGAAGAAATACCTGGTGCCCTCCGACCTGACAGGTGGAATTTTGGGAATTTCGGGAATTTGGGGGAATTTTTTTGGGATTTGGGGACTTTTTAGGAATTTTATTTGGAATTTGGGGACTTTTTAGGAATTTTTTTTTGGATTTTTTTAAGAATTTTTGGGATTTTTTGGGGGGAAATTTTTGGATTTTTTGGATTTTTTTTTTTTTTTCATTTTTGTGGGGTTTTTTTGTGGAATTTTTGGATTTTTCCAGGGGAATTTTGGGAATTTTGGGGGGATTTGGGAATTTTTGGGAAGTTTTGGGATTTTTTCCCTAGTTTTCTGTGGGTTTTTTTTGTGGAATTCTGGGGTTTTTTGGTGAAATTTTGGGATTTTTCTGGTGGAATTCGGGAATTTTTTGGGTGGAATTTTTTGGGATTATTCCTCTGGAATTTTGGGAATTTTGGGGGAGGGATTTGAGGATCTTTTTGGGGAATTTTTGGCCTTTTTTTGTCTAATTTTTGTGATTTTTTTTTGGTTGGAATTTTGGGATTTTTATCCAAATTTTTGGGGTTTTTTTAAGGTGGAATTTTGGAAAATTTGGGAATTTTTTTGGGGATTATTTTGGGATTTTTGGAGCTGATTTTGGGGGATTTTTTTGGGGATTTTGGTTTTTTTTGAGCTGATTTTTGGAGCCAATTTGGGGCTTTTTTTGGGGTTTTTGAGCTGATTTTGGGATTTTTTTTGAGGATATTTTGGAATTTTTTTGAGCTGATTTTGGGATTTTTTTGAGGATATTTTGGAATTTTTTTGTGGATATTTTGGAATTTTTTGAGCTGATTTTGGGATTTTTTTGAGCTGATTTTGGGGATTTTTTTGAGGATATTTTGGAATTTTTTTTGGGGATATTTTAGAATTTCTTTGAGCTGATTTTGGGGATTTTTTTAAGGATAATTTGAATTTTTTGAGCTGATTTTGAGATTTTTTTGAGCTGATTTTGGAATTTCTTTGAGCTGATTTTGGGGATTTTTTTAAGGCTAATTTGAATTTTTGGAGCCGTTTTTCTCCCATTTTTAACCCGATTTTTCCCCCTTTCCCTCCCGATTTCAGCCCGATTTTCCCCAGGGTTTTTTTTTGGGGGGGGGGGATTATCCCAGACCGTTCTTTCCCGTTTTTTCTCACGGAATTTTGGGAATTCTTTTCCAGTGGGGCAGTTTTATTTCCTGATCAGGAAGAGGATTCACCTGCGGGCCGAGGACGCTTTGTTCTTCTTCGTCAACAACGTCATCCCCCCGACCAGCGCCACCATGGGACAGCTCTACCAGGTCCAAAACCCCCCAAAAACACCCCAAAACACCCCAAAA